AGACAGTAAAATATCCAATTGTCAAACTATACCAGTAATGGGAATTTTTAGACAATTTTAAATTATCCTTATGATATCATACTACAAATTCAAATATCAATACAAAGATAATTTTAGATGTTAGTGAATGTATTAATTAAAAAAATCCCTGATATTTGTAACAACAATGTTAATTCATTTATTCCCAGGATCCCATACATTAAGTGAAAAGGGGGTCGTGTCATGTTCGCTATATTGCATTAGAAAAATATCTACATTTATCTTTAAAGGTACTTGGACACAGATTTGAAGTTAATATTTTCTCTATGATATTACGACTTATATATTTTAATAGCATTTCACACAAAAATCAATTAAAAATCTTATTTCATTTAAAAGCAATTAAAACTTCAATTTTTTGGCGGGTTTGATTGACACATCCTTGCACTTTCACAAAATTTAATTTTATTCTTCATACTTAGGATAAGTGGCAATGGCGTATAAATGAAAAATATTAATACTATAATCCAGAAAATTCAGAGTAGAAATGTTAGAAAGCAAAAACAAACACACAATATATTGTCAGTCCGTGCAGTTGTTGTATAACAGAACTCGTGCCCTGTTTACAAAAACTGTGCACATAACACGAGTGTGATCGATTTGCTAAACTCTGTACACAACTGAATGAAGATACTTGTACAGGAGTTTTTTTTCTAACATTTCTACTCTGGATAAATTTATTTTTCCTGATTAAAGTTTTAATATTTCTCATTAATAAACAACAAAATTGCCACTTTTCTTAAGGATTAAGAATAAAGATAAATTAGTGAAAGTGCAAGGACGTGTCAATCAAACCCGCCAAACAATTTGAAGTTTAAATAACTTTTAAATGAAATAAGATTTTAAATTAAATTTTCTGTGAAATGCTACTTGTATTAAAGTATATAATTCGTGAAATATATTACACAGAAAATATTCACTTCAAATATGTGTCCAACTACCTTTAATTTGATAAGGCTTTGCCACAATAAAAATGCTAAAAAAATGCTTGTTAATTCTCATCTGAATAACAAAGGATAATATAAGTCGAAGTTTAGAAACTTTTATAACTATTCTTAAATTTAATTACTTCACAAAGTGCAACATTTCAACTTTTATAGGTATACTGTTTAGCTCATTAAAGTGAACGGGGCGAGTCTAATTCGAGTGCGCATGACTTTTGCGCAGACTTTTTGTTTCTCGAAGTCATAAGTGCGACAGTACACCTTTTCAAAATATTATGATTTTAATATAAAATCAACATTATCTTAAACGCTTTCTGGTGTGAAAATGTGATTTTACGACAATAATTGGGAGAAACGCTGAAATGGCTCTAAGAACGTCACTGTTTTCCGATTTTGTAATCAAAGTATGACACTGAAGAATGGCATATGACTCCCTTATATGTACGTAGACGTCCATGGATATATTACTAAAAACTGATGACAAAACATCAGAAGAAAAATAGCAGCAATCTATATATTGCTATTTTGTACCAAAAAGATTATCTGCGCCGATAATTCATCTTCACCAATATGTATTTAGTGTATTTATGCATATAAAGGAATTTTATGTCATCTAAATACGTACAAAATTGCGTATTTTTTTTTTTTATAAATCACCAATTTGTGTGAATCCATGGGCCCCGAAGGGATTTTCCGGGTTTTATACTCAAGAGCCCCTTAGTAACAGCTATTAGCCTTATCCTTATCAAAATAACTTTTGGCCCCAAAAATATGGTTTACAAATTACAGTATGGCAATTTTAGAGTATTGGGTATCGAAAAAAGAAAACTTTGTTATTAACACCCAGACCAATCTAGATGGTCAACTATTATGAAATTTCACAATTTAGTGACCCTTTACAATAACTTTCATCTCCTTTACTGAGGAAGAAATATGTGAAAAAACTGATAATTTGGCACTTTTCCAACAAATTCCCATAGGGTCCAATAGTAAAATATGACAACTTTTGAGATTGCCCCTAAAGAAATCGGGGTGGTAAGCATTCGATTTATAAATTTTAAAGCAATAAATATAACAGTAAAAATAAATTAACGAAAACTTAGCAAAATTCCTAGGGCAGAAATAATTAGACTGGGCCTGGTTAATATCCAAATTTCATTCGAAAATTAAAAGATTTTATGTAGCAAAGTGTAAATTTTCTTTAAATGCATATAATAATCCCTTCAAATACTAAAGGTATATATTAAAATTCTTATACGCAGGGACCAGTAAGTAAATGTCAATTAAGTTTCAGCATCCATTGAATGACCTTTAATCACTTGATTGACAGGGTTACCAAGACCAGGTATTTTATACGATATGTCCACGCACAATTCGACAATATGAATGGTCACGCACAAATATCACTTGCTTATTGACCCAGAATTCTAGGTAAAATTGTAACCCCTAATATGCATCAAGTAAAAATTCAAATGATTTAAATAACATTGAAATAGATAGAAAACAACAATCAAACAATCAAGCAACATTGTCATTGTATTCTGATGCATTCATTTTATATATTTATACACTAGAATGGCCTTTGTAGATAAAAAAAAAAAACAGCTGTATGATCTGCTGACTCAGGGTCTCGTGTTCTGTCATGTTTCCTCACAAACTCAATCATAATCCTTTGACTGCAATGAACGAAAGAAGAAAAGATGTTGATACATCGACCATTTGTGAATGGAAGTTCAAATTTGAAAATCCTCATAATAATTTCGTTCTTTGTAAGATTCTGTAAAAATGACCAAGTTTATCAATTAAGGACATACGCAACGTACCTTACCTACTGATATCTTTTTTCAAGATATTCTTAATTTAAGATTATAGTGCCATCAGATGTTCATAGACAAAAATTCAACTTGCATTACAAGAGTTTTTTTTTTGGAAGATTATAAATTATGAAAATTTTTGCATTATTCAAAGAAAAATATACAAAAAATACAAAACATAAATTCCAGATTTTTTTCTCACATTTTTTAAGAAGAGGTGTATAAATTCATATATAGACATTTAAAGTATTGCACGCAGGTCCTTCGTTTTGTGGAACTCTTCAACTCCAGGAAAGAACCCAATAATGTTCAAACTATGTTGCGTATGACCTTATGGGAAAACTGATTTTTAATATTTCTTTTTAATAAGTTATGCATTTAAATTCAGTACTTATAATTGCAAATAATGAAATGATGAAATGTATATATTATGGTCTACAAACGAATATGTTTCCAAAAGTAATAATTTCCTGAGATAGATTTTGAAAAAGAAATAGCTGTAGAGTATCAGAACACGATTGATCTTGTCAAACTACATAATTATGTTTTTAAAAGAAGAACACAAACAATCAAAATCAAATGAAAATATCCAATCATTTTAATATACCTTCAGCAATTTCATTTGGCATTTAAGATTATCAACTTCATGTAATGTCATCTTTTCTCTCTGTAAATAGAGTTGTTTTCACCGTAAGCAAAGTTCCGATAAAAATGAACTTGGTATTTTAAAGTACGTATTATTATCTACATGTATCTTTTCAAAATCAGAATCATACTGTATTTGTAGATCAATAATAATAAGCATTCTTGTTGTTGGGTGATCAAGAGCTACCGGTATACTCCGCTACATTAGATATTTAAATCATTATTTTTTTTTTTTTAATATTTTCACTTTTGTTCAAAATAAATTATCAGACATACAATACAAAAGAAAAAAATTGACTGATTATTGTGATTTTACGCCGAGTTGGCAACATTTCACCCCTATATAAGCGGCTTGAAAAATGAATGAAATGAAAAGCCAAGCAAAAAAAATCAATTTACCTACATTATTATTTGTATAAAATATATCAAAAGGGCACGAGAGAGAGAGAGAGAGAGAGAGAGAGAGAGAGAGAGAGAGAGAGAGAGAGAGAGAGAGAGAGAGAGAGAGAGACTTACTATTATGGAATTCAATCGACATTTTAGACGATCTCTTTCTTGTATAGATGAGTCCTTTTCTCTCTGTGCATTTATCTCTCTCACCTATAAGTATAAGTAATACATGTATCTTTCATATGTAGCTCATATGTAGATCTTTTAAAATATCTTTTGTTTTCTTTTGTAGCCATTTTGAATCATATAACCTAAAATATACAAAGACAGAGTAAAAAAAAACCTATTATGGCGACGATAACCCATATTTCAAGATAAAAAAAGTAAAATATCATAAATGTTGCTTCAAACCTATAGGAACTCATTTTTCATAAAAAAATGTGGCTGAGAGACTTTTTCCATTTTAGTGATATTATGAAATCAATTGATATTAGATACATAATTTTTCAAAATATGATAAATCTTACATAACAATGGTTTTGCGAATTCGGCAGAGAAGCAGCGTTTTTCTGTGTGTTCGTTCGTTCGTTTTTTTTTTTTTGTTTAATGGCATCTTAAAGAGGTAGGGTCACAAACTCCATAAAATGGCCACGTCAAAATACCAATTAACTGACCAAGTCCTAACGTCCCATTTCAAACATTAAAATAAAGTAGAGACTTAGTGCTTTCAGTTCATAAAGAAATCGTCTGAGAGTCAAAGTTTGGAAACTCAGACGATGTGAAACTGCAATGTTCTTGATTTTTTTTAAAAAAAGGGGTGAACTTGAGCATCTTTAACATATAGACATACATAGCCAAGAGACAAAATTATGTCATTTTTATTTGATAAATGATGTCACCAAGGAACCAAGTGAAATTTAATATATTGTGTTGTGGTGATTTTTACAATAGAGTTATCTCTCTTTGTTTTCATACACTGCTTGTCATTGAGGGTAATTTCCACATCTATTTTTAGTAACAGAAATTCTGTTCAGCTAAAGTATTTAAGATTTTCATTTAAAATAATTTTTGTCATTGTCATTTTTCAAATAATGATGGAAAATACACATAAGTTTTTATTTAAATGTATTGTTTAATATTTTGATAATTTCAACATCACTTCCTGTGAACACGTGACTTCATAGTTTATGATTTTGCACGAAATGTTTCGCGCTATGAAGGCTGTGTGTTGTTGAAGCTGAATTATCGCTATAGCTAGGTGTACCAACTGTAAGTTTACATTTTTGTTAATATAGCTTTGCTCATAATAGTAAAGTATGTTTTGGTAGGGTTATTTTAATATTTGTAAAGTCTGAAAATATTTATTTTAATAGAATAAGTTCAGCATGTTTTGTTGATAAACGTTCCATATCATATTGGCTATTCATTTTATTTCTAGTGATGTTTAATAGACTTTTGTTATGAAGAAGTTTAAATTTATTTTACGAGATATACTTTTGCTATTGTTTACAACTATAATTAGAGGTAACATAGGTATATTGATTTTTGGTTACAATAGGTTATACAGTATCACTGTGGTCGACGGTGACCTTGACCTGAGTTTATGCATTGAGGCCCTAGTTGGGGTAAGATTTATTTGAAAGCATATTTATTCATGAGTCTATTATGAGTGTAATATGTTATAAATCTTTATATAATGGAAAGGTCAAATGTCTGTCATATTTTGTAAAATTATTTTTATTCATTTTTTTAGTAATGCATCATTATATTCATGTGAATTTACATTTGTAAGTAATGTCATGTTTTTCTTATTTTTCATTTGTACAGCACACTGTCATTACTGCCAATATCATTACCATTATCATAATTTGTAATATCATTGATATTCATAATTAATAAACTTATAAAAAGAACAAATCTGGTTATCACAATATTTTCAACAAAAACTGAGTTGTTCTGATTTTCAAAAATTTACAGGTCCAAAAAAGGACCAATGTGACTTTTCTTCTTTACTATTTCAATATAACTTACCGAATTATAAGCAACAGTGATTACATAACTTTATTATTGGGGTCAGATAAGCCATATTTCAAACCATGTTGGCATAAAATGTGCGGTTGAATTTCTTTCATATTTTATATAAAAAGAGATTTAGTATCATTATACACTTATAGCCTTTTGATGAGGTCAATCCCTCGATATATAGACCTTATATTAACCGAGCACGATGTACGAGGTCGATATGCTTTCTCTAAGGTCTATATATCGAGGAATTGTACCGAATCAAAAAATCGATTTCGACTTCTTTTATCAAAATTTTCCCGAACTTTTTCGTAGTCCTCTGACTTTTCCCTTTATTCTATGACACTTGGAACTCGAATGTTACCCGCTAGGTGTCGTTTTTGGATCACTTCCGTAATTTCTGGTATGAGATTTCCAAATTTTTGACGCCGAATACTCGGATAATTGGGGAATGTGTGGGCAATTAATTGGCACGATTAAAGACAAAATTATCTCCCAAAACAAAATTTCATTACACATTTTGGTGATAGTAGTAGGTAAATGATATTTTAGGCCCGATATTCAAGAGGGGTCCGATTTAACAAACCGAAGTGACTTATCTTCTCTATTTTATAATACCAGGGTATGACTTTTTTAGTTAATCGTTAAATCTATGTTAATTTATGGATCTTTCATAGGGAATATGTTGTAAATAAGTACTAGAAACATAATTCATGACCAAAACAACATTTTGACCAGGGGTGTATAATTGGGGGGGGGGGGGGGGGGCCTGTCCACAAGTACCTGTGTATGGAAGAAGAAAGGAAGCTTAGAATTAAATAGAGTTTTGTAGAATGTTAACAATTTATCAACAGTTTTTTTTAAAAAACCCAATTTAACCCAAGTTAACACAAAGAGTTCTAAAATATTTATCAACTTATGAATTTAGTTTGTATAATCTGTTCTTTATGCATAAATTAATTGTTTTAAAAGTTATAATAATTCTGTGATTTTTTTTCAAATCAAAAGTCAAAGATTTTTTTTTTCAAATAAAAAACAGCTGTTAAATAAATAGGTACAAACGTATGCGCATTAATGTTTTTAAAAAAAATGAAAAAAGAAGTAATACTAGTATTTACTTGTACATATTAAACAGGCCCTGGAACTATTACGCTCTGTTTTAAATACCTTGCTACGTCGTTTGTCTCGTATAAGAGACGACAGTGTATACAATATCGGGTTGAGAGCAGAGTTAACTGGAAGAACCAATACAATTATCCAGGCATACACCTCTTGTGATACATCGATGCCATAAAACGTAGGCATTCCTGTAAAATTCAACTAAAATTCAAATAATCTTAGAATAAAATTTTCATATGCAATTTATATATTTTACATATACTAAAAGGAAAAAGAAACACATATTGAACTTTTGAATTTATATTAAAACTATAAGTTCAAATATGTTTGACTTTGACTAATAATTTATGAATTATTGAAATTGTTATGTCGATATCCAAAATTAAAATAAAAATTCTCATGATCACCCTTGCGCATCAGTAACAGCCCTGATTCACCTGTGCACCGAGTTAATCAGATCATCTATCTTTCTCATAGGATACTAATCAACTTTGAACCAATATTACATGTATTTACGCACGTATGTATTTCAAAATTGTTTAGAATTGGTTTTCTAATTTTGAAACGATAGTACGCTGTATTTCTTCTAATTTATTCCTTTATAAATCTGTCATATATGTCAAATCTCATATTGGCTTCCCCCAGTCATTGAAAATGATTTTGGCGTAAGCTAAAATAAGAAAACATAATGTAGATTTTTTATATTTATTTTAACTCCTTTGCACATTGCATGGGTTTCTATAAGAAAATTTGCAAAAGATGACAATAAAATTTTATTAATTCTTATTTAACATCTCTAAGAATGTCTCAGGATATTTTTTACTCCAAGATCATTAAAACGCCAAATATTTTATCTCTTTGACCTATGTTTGTAATCTTATAATTGATTTGAAACAAAATGTTCAATGGCGTTTTTATGTGACTTGGTTTTTATTAAACAATGCTTGAATAATTTATACTTTGAACAATATTTACTTCATCAATAAGATATCAACGCTTTTCAAATAATGAAATGTGTTGGATAATGATACTACACATGTAAATATACATTAGCAATTAGACTTTGCAATACACTCCTCATATATTTCAATAAAAATTTCCTCTGTCATTTTTCTAATTTAAACTAATGAAAATTAAATATTATGCATTTATACCTATATTTTTGTCCAGTAAGAGTAGAAAATATTGCGAGATAAAATTAAAATGCAAGAGTCAATTATGAAAAGTTGAAGATAATGCCTTCTATATGATTATAATAGCAGTGTCCATGATTTCTTTGCTATGGGAAACCCAAAATATATGTCGGATAAAAAATTATACTAAAGGTCACAATGGCATTCTGTAAAAAAAGTTCTCGATCGGAAAGTCTTATCAAATTTCATTCAGTAGCAAATAAAAGATAGGTACCCCAAAAAGTAAAAGACGGACGGACAGACGGGAGGAGGGACTGACGAATGTACAGCTAGACGGACAGAAGGAACGGACAGACATTCCGATTACTATTTACCCTCCCGCTTTTCAAGCTGTGGTTATAATGATAATCAATCTGAAATAGATGAAAGTTGCTCAAAGGAAACAGTCATATAAATAAAGTATTGAAAAAGAACAATTGCGAACTTCTTATGTTTTATGTGCTACTGTATATTACATATAGTATTTCCCATGGTTTGTAGTTTGATATGATTTTTATTCAACTCGTTGTGTGATTCTCATCCCCAAGCCTTGGCGAGGGGATAAAACATTGTGACGTCATAACTGCAGTTAAGTGTGGGATATGAAAACGATATCTTATAAGTTATATCCGCGAGATAAAGGGGTAAACATGGGATATATTCCTTTATGCAACCATTTGAAAATGATAAATTTTTTGATAGAAATAGGATACTTTTATCGGTTAACAGTGAAATACTATATTATAACTTACCAATGATTGCTATAGGTATCCAGCAAAGTAGATCAGTTAGAACGACGGCAACAATAGACTTGACTAAAGCTACCTTTCTACGGCGGAAATTTGAAAAGTTACACACACTGCTGGATTTCATGACTTCTGAGAGAATCACTATTTGACCAACAGCAATAGCCAGAAAAATTATGAAATTAAAACCAACAAAAATGACCATAGAATATTGCCAGCCAGTTTGCCTATAGACTGATAACGGTAGAGATAGACAAATGGGAGACTGTGCATAATAATCTCCGAAGAATGATATTCTTCCAACAAAATAGGTAAAACAGATACAGAAAGTGCAATGACCCAAGTCAATAGTGATGATCCAAAGGTGAAACCTCTCTGTCTTTGGATAAAAGGATATTTTATAGAGATGACTCTATCAACAGTTATTAATAGGCCGATGCCTTACTAGAAATTGTTGCTAAGACCCCGGCAATGGTAAAAAGATTACTATGTCGCCATGAATAGTCATTTAATCCATAGTTCCTTGTATACACTAAATTCATTATAGCAATGATATATAGATACACCCCCATGAAAAAGTCTGCAACACTCAAATTACTGAAAAAACTAAGTAGGAAAGAGACCTATTATTAATCGTATATGTGCTGCATATGAATGCAATTATGTTTCCAAATGATGCGAGAAGAGCTATATACCAAAATAAGTTCTCTGTATATAATGTTTGCCTCCACAGGTTGTCATTTGATCAAGCCGAGGAAATTAAGACTCCCGAATAGCTAAGGGCACTTTATCTGAAAGTTTACTACCAATATTAATGTGTTTAGATATTCAACAGACACGATAGGAAACGCTGATGAACTTTTTAATGATTTCGAATTTGTTTTCGCAATCTCCAGATAGAATATTTCAAAAAGTACTTCTAAATTAAAAGTGAGATATATCACGTTTTCAAAGTAATAAAAATTTAGAGTTTTTGAAACAGCGTTATCTTTACATCCTTATTAATGGTAAAAGAAAGAAGTTAATGTGTTTCTTACCATTTATTTGCAGGGATTTTATAAATTAAATATATTCCATAGTATGTATTTTGATTTTTGTTAAACTTTTAGGTAGAATTAAAATATAAGGGCGTACTCTTTGAATTACATATCTAAAATGGGGATAATGATATTATTTTATTTTTTATGCCACTCTGTGTTAACTATAAGTTATCTTCCGAATGTTCAAATATATTAAGACTTGAAGCATGTACACTTAATTTTTTTGAAACAAGAAAAGACTATTTTTGCAGGTCCTTTGACCCACCTTTTCAATTTTTTAATTTTTTCCCCATGTTTTTAATTCATCAAAATGATATTTTACCAGTTGGCTATCATATAAGATTTATTTAGTCATATATACATGTATTTCATTAACAAGAATATTTAGATAAATTAATTTATTGAATCTGTTTACCATCATTGGACAACAAAATATATTTTAATCACAACATAATCAGGTATATTTTTTCCCGTATGTATTTGTCTTATCAGCAATTCATCAAAATGACAACATTTTGAGAAAAAGGTTATTCTTGCAAACAAAATACATTATTAATGCACGAGCGCCATGGCCCTCAAGGCAAAGGTACGTACGGATGAGTTCTCCATTAACCATGCAATTTGATAAAGAAAACAAAATTTAAATTGTTTGTGATGATAGATGTTATTATGTCCATGTATGCACAAATGCCAGAACACGAGACAATTTAATCCATCAAAATAATTAAAATGTACTATTACTAATGTTTACATAAACAAATCAAACTGAA